TGAGAAGAAAAGTACATCACATTGGACCAAAACATCAGAGTCCAGTATATATATATATATATATATATATATATATATATATATATCAAGGTTCGAACCTGTTGGATCTGAGATGAGTAAGGAGATAGGATAATACTAATATTAATGTAAAACCACTACACCAAAGTCGATAAAAAAGATGAAAACAAACTAGAATAATCAAGAGAAATGCACTAAAGATCAACAAAGAGGAACAATAAACGACGACGAATAATGAAGATCCTTAATTCGATTTCGTACTGACTAGGAGTCTTATGCTAGAAAAAAACAGCCGTTTATTGGTTCTTGGTTTTAGTGATGGTTTGGCCATGATCAGTTCTTGATTCAAACTATGAAAATATTAGTAATTAATGCATTTGGGAAATTTAACGCATTTCGAAGATTCAGCCAGAAATGATTAAAATCATCGTTTTGGAATTCTAAAACCATGCTGATTCTTAGAAATATCTAGTTTTACATATATTCAGACACTTTTCACTTCACCAACGATCAAAGATGTAATAAAACTTCTGATATTATCTTCTTGATCATTTAATTTCATAATCTATATCATGAACTGACCTACGCAAAACAACCGACGAAAATCAGGAAACACTGGAAAGCTGATTCGTCTTGGTATGGGACTTCTCAAACAATGCCCATTCACAACCCAACGGGAATCGAACAAGAGTCCACACTGATGAGGAGCCCCATATCAGGATGAAAGAAAAGTCCTGTGCTCCTTCTTTTCCGGTGGTTGTCTAATTATCATTTCGTAACGTGAACTGTAAAATTGGACAATCTTCACAAACCCCCATTATAGTATTGTCTTTTGAACTGTTGAATACAAGCTTAGAAAGGTAGGTATTGGGGCAACCGTACGTATTACTGTTTCGAATGTTTTGAACCAATAGCTTTCGACTTCCAAATCGCTTATTTAAGATTTGTAAGTAACATTAATTTATTAATTAGTTAAACGGATTCAAAATAAAAACTCCATAAAAAACAACCTACCTGAATTCGAAATATCATTTCTAAAAACTCATCGTCCAAATCACCAGTAGATGAAACAGTATGACCGCGAATTCCACGTGTATCAACACCACTACCAGCAGCATTACTTCCCACTCCTCCTCTTATTACCGCTCTTCCTGTTTCACAGCTACCACAACTAGCTCTTGTAGCAGGAAATGTAGTGGTGGTGGTTGGATTGTGATCAAATAATCCAGTGACATCATCATTATTACTGCTGTTATTGCGTAGTCTAGGTTCTGGAAGACCATCACTTGCACAGCTACTTGTTGATTTGAACACTGAATTAGTTGAACCGAAATAACGGTTGTTATTATTATTAGCAGGAGTAGTAGTATTATTATTGCTATCTAATAAATGAAGACCTGGACCAGAACGAAGACCAGGGAAAACAGATAAGTTGGCTCGTTGGTCATTCATTCTAGCACCCTAAACATACACACACAGAGTAGTGGAAGCATAACAAGGAAAGAAAGGAAATAGAAACTATTGAATCATATATATATATATATATATATATATATATATATATATATATATATATATACGAAAAAATTGAACGCTAGCTCAGTAGATGTAGATGTCCACTGTTTAAGAGTCTCATGATGACGTGAAACTTTAAATTCAACAATCTTCATAATGTCATTGTATATGTGTACATATACTGAAAAATGACCAGAAATAAAACCCTATGGAGGATGTTGTATTTTTCTTTTGTGAGTTAAACATTTCCTATGATTACATAACAGAAGCTGTCAAGACTTTTTGTCTATTACAGACAGCAGATAGTAGTAACGTTTATGAAATTAGACAACTAAGTTGACAATTGCAAATAACACTAATGAATAACATTGATGGCTGAAAATGTGGTGAACTGATTATTTAAAAAAAAGGTAATATATTTTCGGAAGTCAAGAAAAAACAAACAAAATACTACATGCTAACACTGCTTAACACTAATGAAAATACATTAGATTGACATGGAGCAGTAATTTTTATGATCTCAAGTAGCTATGATGTAAGTAATAATGAAAAAACGAAGTTAGATAGGTGAATGTAATTGAAAGATAGGGTTAGATAAAGCTTTCATACTATGATTGATACTTTCTAACAAGTTCTATCTGTAATCTTGAAGTAACTGATGTTCCACTGCCACAAACGTTGAACCCGTATCACTACTTGGTGTATCACAGTGAGTCGAGACTTCAACACTAAACGATTCGGGATGCAACCGATTTCCTGCAGGACTGAAAATTTTACATTCACCGGCTACTAGTTAATAATCAACAGATGTAAGTGACAGACTGGGGGACTATGAACATTATGCTTGTTGCACTTAGATGTCATTTCAGGGTCAAATAACACATTAAAAATTACAAAGATGCGTTAATGGAGAAAGTCCATTAACAAACTAAGCAAGGTTTCAGCTTACATGTCCTTATCTAAGTCAGAGGGAGAATTGCATAATCCCATGATTTATGTACATCACAATCCGGTTCGGCGATGAAACCCTCATACTTATTTCAATCTTCTCGTTTGCATAAAAGGATTCATTATACCGTAACTGAATTGGATCATAAAAACCAACAGTAACTTAATATAATGGTGGAATACAGAAATATATACACATTCAGAATGTACAAGAAAATTAAATTTACCTGAACCCCCTCGATTAAGTCAAAGAAAGCTTCTTCATTTGTACTAATTTGATTGCGAAGTGAAGAGTTATCATAGTCGGGTGTACGACGAGAATTTCCAGATGACAACTGAACATTGTTTGACTCTTGTACACTATTTGTTTCAGTCGATTGAATGGGTGGTGTACCTTGTCCAGTATTACGTAAATAACAACGTTGTTCATCCATACGACGAGATTGTGATTCAAGTAGAAGTGAGAAAAACATTTCTTGTTGATCTACTGAACGTTCTTCTTCAACTAGAGATGCGGCAGCGACTGCAACTGCTGACGAACTAGTACCAACAGTATTACATGTATTTCCAGAATCTAAATTTTCACTTGATAAATTAGAATTTCTATTCATCTGAGACATGGATTCAATTGATTCTAAATTGTCTTCAATATCTTGAAGATTAGGTATATCAATTTGTTGTGATAAACTTGGACGAAATGATGGAGCACTTAAATAAAATTCAACCTGAAAATATTTTGTTTTATAAAGTAAATAGTCATAATCAAAATTCATCTCAACTTATTACATAATTTCAAAATAATACTCTTAAATATTGACTAATTTAATACAACATATTCTATACTTGCATTCGTACAGGGATGGTAGCTTATTGGTTAAGACATTTAACCTATCAGTAATCAAGTCCTAGGTGAAAACCCTCGATCCTATATCTATTTCGGATTGGATAACTGGGTAGTATGATATACTAGACTTCGCAATTAGAGAGTATCTTTAAATCAAGAACACAAATCTGTATCTGGTAAGTGAGTTAGTAAACAAGTAATCTGTATAATTGACATTTGATCACAAGATATTAGGCAAGGTTTGCGAATCTTATTCTTTTGTATATTTCGGTTTAATGATTATAAGAATATTGAAGACAGAAGATTAAACGCATTCAATAAACCGAGATTAAACAAACTTCAATAAATATCAGCCACACTAAGTTTGGGGGCTAGTGAAACTCCTAAGGTGACCAAACCGAAGTAGGGAGAGGAGCTTCGAACCTGGGATACAAAACAGACATTGAAAGCGAGATTTTTCATAACATTAGTCAGACCTATATGTTGTTCGGCTTGGTAACATCCGAAGTAGTAGGTTTAAATGAGCGATTGTAGTTTCAGATTATTTGAACAAGATATAGCATTGGACACAATGATTCTTCATAAAGCAATAATTTAGCAACCAAAACATTGTTTTGACAGTTCATTACTTTTAAGCCTTTAACCTAAAGGTCCATTTCTTCACAAGACAGAACAGCATCAGGAAATATATTCTGCTGGCGATTTGGTTGACAAAGTAGATTCCTGCATAATATGCAATCCTTGTTTGAATAATTTTTCGAATTCCTTAGGCGGACCTTTCGTTTCTGCCAATTTAGTTCAACATTCCCTAGTGTCCTCCGGTTTCTGTGGAAGGAAATACATCTGAGCCGTCAAAAGTGTGACGAAGACGCACTTGGAAGAGGTTAAAGTGCACAGCAATTTTTAACAAATTGATCAATTCAGTCAAAGTCTACTATCCACTGATTTTATGACGACAGTAACCTGTCAACCAACTTCTAATTTGAAAATAATTTACAATAAATAAATTACTTCAATCATCAAAAGTTTTGGCAACCAAGCAACACCATTTTTCCTCACATACAAAAATAGGCACAGAGCGAAATACACCAACTTATAATACATGTCACATTATTATTAGTGGTAGTGTCATTTCAGGAAATAAAAAAAATGAACCATGACACTACTTACCATGTTTTCCTTTTTCGACTCTGATAGAACAGGCGTTGGAACATCTAAGTAAAAGGAATTTTAAAATAAGAACTATAATTACGTGAACTGAATCTTCGGTTATATCTAAGAAAAAATTAAAGTCGATTTTTTGAAATTAATATTATTATTTTTGGCAGTTCATATTAATAACTGACTTTAATTGAACGATCACAGACAACTAGAAGGTATTGGACAGTTGTTTCGTTCTAATATGGTACTCTTCGAAAATGTACATCTACAAACATCACCGAAGACCAGAGCCAGGGTCTTCGGATCTCGCGTCGTGTGTTGAATACTTAGACCATTGGGCTGCTTTTGAATGGTTGACATTCCTAACACCAATCAACTTCAAATAATGCAAAGCCACCAACCAGTTCCAGTGGTGAGTAACTGCTGCTTCACATTTAACATGAGCGAATTACACTTGTTAAATATATATATTTCTTATTGTTAAATAACTACATTATACATATATTCGTATTCCTTTCATCATAAGTTTTCTATTGACCTATTGGCTATTATTATTATTATCCGTAGTGTCGCGATTTGTTCTGTGCACGACCGGTTCTTACGGAATACGACCTGTCAATCTCGAAGTCGGGCGTCTATTGAGTCTTTCATCCGGTTCAGCAACGCTCTGTTGAAAATTACTTCCTGGTACCGATAGTAGTGTGATTGTTCTGTAGTTCCCACACTTGTTCATATCTCCTTTCTTTGCTATTCGTAAGAGTTATCCTTCTTTCCAGTCCGTCTGTGGCACTTGTTCTTCCTCCCAAATCTTCCCCAATAGAACGCGGGTCATCTTTGCAGTTACTTCTAGTTCTGACTTTAGTGCTCCGGCTGGTATATTGTTGGGTTATGCTGCTTTTCCACTCTTGATTTGTCTGATGGCCATCTTGATTTCTTCGATCGTTGGTGGAGTGACATGTATAGGATGGTCTGTGTGTGCTGCTTCGATATCCGGTGGATTCAATGGAGCTGGCCTATTGAAGAGTTCTTCAAAGCGTTCTACCCATCTGTTCCTTTGTTCTTGGGTCTCAGTGATTGGCTTGCCTTCTTTGTCCTTAACCGGTTTCTCTGATTTACTATATTTACCTGCCAGCAACTCTCGAAGTGTGTGGAGCATTTTCCCTTTCGTGAACGGAGTACAGCAACGTCTCTCTTGCATCTAGCTTTCGCAGTGCAGCTTGGGTCCAATGGGTTTCACTGATTCCAAGAACTGCAAAGTTGTATCTCCTCATTTCCGTTGCTATTTCACTGGTCACCCGGTTTCCCACATCGTTCAGATATTTCATCTACCTATAAAAATTGTTGCTCTGGTTGTTAGAAGAGACATCGGCCTCGTGACTTTCGCAGAATCTCGGCTTTCATCTTGAGGCGTCATAATTCTTCCTTCAACTCGATAGGCAGAGTTTGATTTTTTAAATTTGTTTAATCTGGTTAGCGTTTTTTGCAAGGTTGTGTTCTATGGGATAAGGTTGTTGACCCCATGTCCAACTCCTCTCTTTTACCCGAGCTTACGACCGGCAGTAGCCCTAGAAGAGCAACAGGTGGAGTTTATTCTTAAGTTATTCCCAGTCTATTGGTTACAGCCATCACACTCACTTTTGGCTTGATCTTGTATAATTCTTTTTATTTTACGGTGTGATGTGGTCGGGTTTGCTTGTATATAAACTATATGTGTCTGAGATTGTTCTGGACTCGACGGGCAGGGCTACGCGGTAAGTTACAATTTTGAGGATTAATAGGGATTCAGAGTTGACGCAAGACGGCTAGTTCTGGTTGATATGTCATTGGTTTAGCACAAGAACAAGATCATGGAAGTCGGAATTCTGATTGGCGATTTTGTCACGTGATAATTGACAGAGGCAGAAGTCATAACATAATACAACTATCTCCACAACCACCCACGTCTATACTAATGATAGTATTGTCATATAAGAAAAGGAACGCAGGAAAATAACATCATGTGGTTGGTCAATATAAATCATTTAATATCATCCAATGCATAAGAAATTGTTGGAAACTCCATCCTCAAGACAAAATCAACAAAGTTTGTAGCTTCATAAAATATGCTTAAAATATATATGAGCTAAATAACTACATAGAAGCCTAAACAATAATTAGTAGACAGAAAGCATCACAACCAGGAGGTTAGTCAGTCAGTAAGTCGTATGCGACGTAAAACTTGCCGACCCACATCAGCACAGTGAGATTCCAGAGTAGCGGAAGTAGTAACGTTGTGACTGATAGAATTCGAAAAAGAAATGATTCGTGTGATCAAAAAGTAAAATATGATTTAGAAACTCAGGATCTATGGGAAAAGAAATAATGAATGCATCTAAGCCAATGTGACCGACTCTACGTCTTAACACACAACATTAACCACTGATCATGATAATCGTGTGGTGGTGGTTGCTGTGGCTAGAATACATAGGTCTTAATCAGCAACCTTGCTTTAGCTACTTCTGATTTTGGGTAAAGATTTAAAGATATATGCAATAGATATTCTGCAAGACATTAAATTACTCTATTGGACTTAAAAAGCATAGTTGGCAACGTGATTCGGTAAACATTGATAAACACATTAAGTGGTTTACTATTCAGAACTTTTATTCATTTAATCCCAGTATCGATGACCAATAAAGGATTTCACAAAGGCAATGGCACAGACATAATCAAAGTAAGTAAAATTTATCGTTAATTCTCATTCGCATTTCAGTTGCTGTACTTTATATTAGCATAAACGAACAGTTGTCAGTCAAATAGTTACTTAAACGACTTAGGACCTGGGCATGAATGTGCGTCGTCCTCAATGACCACATGACATTAAATTATCAATAATGACAAAATGTTAACCAAATGTTTAGTACAGTATTAGTACAAGTAGTGTCTATGACAGTAAAAAAAAACATTCGACTCCAATTAATTCAGTCACAAATTCAAAAGCCCACTCCTAATCATGGAGTCATAAATGACTAACAGATGACAGTTGTGTAAAGCTTTATCTCAAACCACGGTACCATGCCACAAACTGACGATATCTCCGCTTTTTCCAACCAGTCCCAGTGTCGGAAAATAATGCAATGTGGAATTTCCTGGGACGGCATTAGTAGTACATATCCAAGCACCGAAGCCGGTGTTGCAAGATAGTGATATTAATCGGATTGTCGTCACTTTCCGCGAATACACGTTACCGAACTTCCGCATATTAAGTGCTAGTTCTTGCGTGAATGAATAACTGCGATAACTTTCTTATAATTCATGTTTGCACTAACCTTTTCCGTTATTCAATTGAGTTTAGTTTAGTTATTTTACTGCCCCTTCATCATCATATATATATATATATATATATATATATATATATATATATATATATATATATATACTCCAAGTTAGTCTTGTTGAACATTATATTTTCATGATTACCTAATTTTCCCCGGTTTTCCCCAGTGACTTACGAATTATCATCAAGGTGATGTATGTCAGTCTTCGGCTTATCTAGCTTACATTGGATCCTCTTTTTATTAGAATAATCTCAATCGTTCTTAATTTATAATTACAGTACCCTGATCACAAAAACTGAGATGAAACTATTGGGAAACAAACACTTCATTTCAAGTATAATTTGCAAAAAGGAGAAAAATATAGTTTGTCTTTGATCGAACAAATATTAATTACGGTAAATAACAAAAGTGAGTCATTTTTTATTACCCAAGAAAGTGAATAACAGAATCTGTATAATAATATAATTAGAAAACATTGTGTAAATATCACAAAAGATTCACAGATACTGATACAATTGGATATATAAATCTGAAAGGTTAGTGATTAATCGACTATCAATATTGAGTCAGGGACTTCAGAAAAAACCATAGTTAAAAAACAATAATTCCAATAAAATACAAGTACCAACAAGACAAAATTGAGGTAATGATTATATAAGACAAAAAATCCTCAATACCATAATGGTGTTATCATCAAGGTGCAAGTGGACACATATGATCTTTACTCTGTTTATCGAATTTAATATTTAAAAAATACTAAGAAACTCTATCCAGTTGTTTATTTATTTATTTATTTCAACACATAGATATTGGTACAAAGAGGCACCAAATACATATTCACCACACAAATCTCATTCGATATGTGTGAGGGCTGTGATACTGCTCGGGTGCCCAAACCGAACCACGTGGTTTTCTTAGGGGGCCACACTGCGAGCCTTCGACCTGAAGGTCTGACCCACAAGGCAGTGGAGCATCGTCAGGAGATGCAGTCCCATGGAAGCCAGTGACCAACAATTGGTTCATACGCCATTTGTCTCCGCAGGATACTGGAGCCCATGTGCACCATTGGTTTGGAATCCGGTTAAAGCGCCGGACATTCGCTTTTCGTCCCCCTATTTTCGTAAACAACACCCCCGCCACGAGAAGGCAGTGAGTAGGACTTCCCTGGCAGAGGCTATATACGCGTGGCCATGTGAGAGCATTTCGAGAGGGAGAGCGGACTCTCCCCACTCTCGGCCGTACCAGGGCATTTGGGGGCCTATCCAGTTGACGAATTCACTACTCAATAGATCAATCACAAGCAACGTAAAATCTGGTGTATACAAATAAGTGCATCAGTTCAAGTTTCCAAGTATCAACTGTAGTACGAAACAGGCATAAATAGTATGACTCGAAAAAAATTATTAGTTTGTGAAATATAAAGTATAAGATAATTTTAGAACTGAAAATCTAAAGTAAAGCAAATAGTGAATGCACATGTCATTGTGACCAATTCTGAACTATGTCATCGAGTCTCCAACCAATGGTCAGAATGAATTCACTTATTTTGCATACATAGGATGGCGCTATATATATTGGTTATATGTCGATGTTTTTTCCACAACTGGATAAAAAGTGATGTATAACACTAGCCATTTACTTGACTATGTACATTTTTTACGGGAAAGCAACTTCTATTTTAAACAGAATTTCGATAACATCGTTAGGCGAAATGAATAGCACGAGATATTTTGTCGAGTCATATAAACGCTTAAAACCTACTTTTTAATAATATACTGAATTGTTAAACTGTTTTTAGTAAAAGTGAGAGAGACTACGGAAAAAATAATAATATAGGGGAAAATATCTATAAAACAACTGTTATTTGTTTATTACATGGAATGAATCATTTGATACTGATCATATGCAGTAAATAATTATTTCTGATCAAGGTAATGAATTAAGAATAGCTAGATAACCATTAAAAATAAGGAAATATTAGGGAGCTCTGTTTTTCTCTAAAAACAGGACTTCTCAATAGTGTAAACTCATAACTCTCTCCCGGAGATCAAACCCATGATATTCAAATCTCATAATGAGGATGTTATTTCTAGACCTCTGAGCTCAGACTAATGGTTTTATATTTTTTTATTCGACTCAATTTACGATGTTTTATTGATATTGGTGATAACTCTTTCACTTTCGACATGGTTGAACTTCACTTGTTACTCCCTCTTACTAGAAACTTAAAAATTTCATTAGAAGTTAGTCACTAGTTCTGGTGAGGTTATGGGTTCGTGCCACTGAAGAGCCCCACACTATAGACGGAATAGTTGTTCAATAAGTTCTGAGTTCCCAGGACTGTCTAGTTTAGGTCAGTCCACGCCGTAAACTACAAAGTTGGCAATCTCTCATAAACCTGCTATGCTAAAATGAACTATATAATGATCTGCGAGTTTACAAACATGCCAATATATGAATTTATACACATATTTCCTTCAATATATAAATGATCCGTGATACAAATATTACTGAAATTAAAATGTTGCTTAGATCTTTTAACCATTTAAACCACTAGTCTGCTAACTTCCCAATTTCGAACGATGATATCCAAGCGAGAAAAATTCATTACTACATTTTTACTTCTAGTAACTAAAATATTTAGATCAATGACCAGCTTAATAATAATAATGAGATAAAGAATATTGGCCTACTTACTAAGCAACATAATGCCAGACAGAACATATTTTACAGAAGAAAATATTGTAATGACGTCTGACGTTAAAATGATCATTGCTGAAAAGTCTGATAACTCTCAAAATACATCGAACAGAACAAACCGATAAAAATGATACTTTTATAAATTGGCATTTTTACATTACAGTGTCCTAGAACTCTCACACTTCTCACTGT